ACTTCTACTGCGCGCGTGCTGAAGTAAAAATATAAACCTCGTCAAATATCCTTAACGCTCTACGGGAGATCTACGGCCGTGAAGAGGAACGCCAGAGGGTGGAGGCAAGATGGTGGGAGCAGAAGGGGAGAAGAAAATTGGACAACCTAGCAACAAATAAAATAATGAGAATTTCGTCCTTGACATACCCCCCCAGCACAAGCAACGTCCGGGAGCAAGACAAGATCTGTCACGTCCACAGTTGGCATGTGTGACGAATCTTGTCCATTCGTCGATGCATGCGAAGGGTTGGATTGGCTGTGCCGAAGTGTGGACTGGCTGTGCCAAGGGGTGCATTAGTTGTCCAATGCTTGGTCGCGAAGACTATCGACAATGTTGCGCGGAGGTTGTTGATCGCGCACGTGGCAACATGGGAAGGGAGCAGGATTGGACGAGGCCGAGGTGCTGGTGCATGGTTCACGCCAACCCACTAAGTGGCACGTGTCAGCAGGAGAGAGGGGATGGGCGTGTCACATCCTGCATGAGCCATTCTCTTTCAAGCCTTGGTCACATCAAGGTCACGCCTTGCGAAGGGCGACGATTGCGAACTCGGCGAGGGGAGTCTGTTGTGGCGCGCAGGGGCTTCTGTTTTGCACAGGTGGGTTGCGTTACTTCGTATGGATCGCATGGGTTGTTTTTGCCAGGGTCTGTTGTTTTCTCCTGCCTTTTTGTGTTCGCATTTGTTTTCGCGAGCTGATTCTCTTGGAAATTTGCTTTCGCGGAGGCAGGTTGGTATCCGCGTCTCTGATGGGGAACATGCACAATGGGTGCGGCGCTCAGGTGGGGCGTGGAAGTGGGTTCGCGTGCAGCAGGTCCCGACAAGGCCCAGCTGGCGGGGTTTCAGTTCCGCCGACCCGGCGCTGGGAGAGCGACGAGATCGTAGTTCCCACGGGCAAAACGGGAGCGACGCTCAAAATTTTGTTGAGACACACAGTTATAATATGATGTGCCAATCAGGTAATGTGAATCTAGTCACCTGATGCGTCAGAGTGGAGTCTTGGGTAGACTAATGTACTGGATTTTGGCTGACAAGATGCTCTACTGAGTACTGTGGCCTTCTTCTGTAGGCGAACTGGCCTCCGCACAAAATTTCCGGGACAGTCTTTCCTAGAAAATTCGTGTCGCATCCAATCAAAATGGTCACCCTCGATGTTGCTACAAGGCCTCGCATATCCAATGCATTTCCACAATTCAAAGCCCAGCATAACTTGTGCACTGGCTGATGCTTGCCCTCGAAATTGAACCAGTATTTAAGGCGCCAAGGCGCCAGCGTTTAAGGCGCCAAGGGGCCAGCGTTGAAGGCACCAAGGCACCAGCGCTCATGGCGCGAAGACGCCAGCGTTTAAGGCGCCAAGGCGCTAGCGTTTGAGGCGCTCGTGCTTCCTACTCTTCACCTGGTCCTCAGCACAGGCCACTCCTCTGGCTATAGGTCACGCACTCTCAGCTCTGCCTTCGGATGAGTCCGTAGAGCCGAGTGGTCCATACCTAGAGATCGTTGGTTGCCTCATGTACCTGATGACTTGCACTCGTCCTGACCTAGCATACCCTCTTGGCCTTCTGGCCCGCTATGTGGCTCCTGGCAGGCACCGAGAGGTGCACTGGGATGTTGCAAAGAGGGTATTGCGCTACTTGTACAGTGCATCGGGCATGGGGCTTGTGCTTGGAGGAGGGAGCTCAGTCGTTCTCTTTGGGCACTCAACGGTCGTCACAGGGTTACACCTTCAGCCTTAGCTCTGGCTCAGTTTCGTGGCGTTCTACACGTTCGTCTTTAGTTCTCAGTTCCTGTTGTGAGGCTGAGATCTACGCCACAGGCATGGCTGCACAGGAGTTACGCTGGCTCACCTACCTGCTGACCAACCTGGGAGAGCGGCCTCGTTCTCCTCCAGTGTGTGAAGAATGAGGAAATGAATGAACTAGCACAAAGTTGGGTACAAGTAGGAAACCCTAGGAAACTGTACCCCATAGTGTCTACCCCACTATAGCCTACACAAGCTATATAATATGAGTTTGACACACCCCCATAGGCAAAGTGGGGGAGAACAAGAGGTCACAAGACCAGTCAAGCAAAGCAAAGCAAGCTCAGGATGGATCACAACGTCACCACAAAATCCGAGCACAAGAGCAAGGCCAAAAAGCCAGTTCAGATGCAAGATCATATATAAAGGCAAACAAGCAAGTGCAGGTATAGAAAGATCACAGTACAAGCAAGGTCCAGAAGTGAGCAAGTGAGGCCAAGTAGGCACAAGACCTAACATCGTACAGAAGTGCTGATGATCACAAGGCGGAAGTGCCTTGGTAAAGATATCAGCAGTGTTGGCCTCAGAGGCCACGTAAGCAAGGAGCAGCTGACCACGCTGCTGCAGCTCACGAGCAAGAAAGTAGCGAAGAGCAATGTGCTTCGTTCAGTGCTCCACTCTGTGCTCCTGACACAAGGCCAGCATGGCCTTGTTGTCTACGTACAGAACTGGAGGAGAACGAGGCGACTCTCCTAGGTTAGCCAGCAGGTTGGTGAGCCAGCGTAGCTCCTGTGCAGCCATGGCCCCCGTGTAGATCTCAGCCTCACTTCTGGAGCTGAGAACAGAAGACGAACGGGTAGACCGCCACAAAACAGAGCCGGAACCAAGGCTGAAGGTGTAACCCTTGGCTCTACAGACTCATCTGAAGGCAGAGCTGAGAGCGAGTGGCGAGTAGACAGAGGAGTGGCCTGAGGCGAGGAGTACGTGAAGCCGAAGCGCTGAAGGACCTGCTGCACCATGTGTGACTGAGTCAGGGTAATGGTGCGCTGTGCTCTGTCCCGAGTGATCTGCAAGCCAAGGTAGCTGCGCAGTTTGCGCTGGTCTGTGCACGTGTATCTCTTCTGCAGCTCGGACTTCACGTGGGCGAGTCCAGCAGTGTCAGCAAAGGCAAAGACCAAGTCGTCGACGTACACAAGGATGTAGAATGGCGGCAAAGAGGTGTTGGTGCGCAGAAACAGCGACGGGTCGGCTGTAGAAGGAGCAAACCCAAGAGCCGCAAGTGTAGTTCTCAGTGTGTCGTGCCACTCACGGAGCGCCTGGCGGAGACCGTAGATTGGCCGCCGGAGGCTCCACTAGGTAACAGGAGGAAACGACCCAATGAAGCCAGGTGGGCGGTGCAGCCAGATCTCCTCGTGCAGGCTGCCGTGCAGGAAAGCTGTGCTGAAGTCAAGAGAGTGAAGCTCGTAGTCGCGTTGAGCGGCTATGTGCAGCAGCACCCGAAGAGTGGTCATCTTCGGGGTGGGAGAGAAGGTCTGAAAGTAGTCAACTCCCTGCCGCTGACTGAAGCCTCGAGCCACGTAACGCGCCTTGAAGACAGGCGGAGAACCCGGCGGCCGCTTCACCCTGAAAATCCACATGCCACTGACGATGTTCACCCCAGGTGGGAGAACCTCGTCGACATAGGTGCCTGTGGACTTCCAGGAAGCCATCTCTGCGTCTATGGCCGGCTGCCACTAAGAGGAGTAGGGACCCTTGATCGCCTCAGCGTACGATCGAGGAGTCAGGATGTCTGGTGCATCCAGGTCTCCCTCAGAGGCAATCAGCGTAGACACGAGATGAGGCAAAGCAGCAGCAAAGCACTAGAACTCCTCCTGCGTGTCCTCAAGGACATCCGTGCTAAGAGCACACTCACCCTCAACGGACGGAGGACTGACAGACTCAAACTCAGCTACAAGTCTAGCAGCGTAGTCTAGACGACTGCGAGCAGCAAAGTTGAGAAGCTCAGCAAATAGGGCAGACGCAGCAGTGGACTCAAAGGAAGGGTCAGCAATAGCAAGGAGACGTGTGACACAACGACTGGTTGCACGAAGAGAGTCAGACTCCGGGTCAGCAAGAGAAGGAAGAGAGGACTCTGGAGGAGACGGCAACGGGACACGCAAAGGAGCAGTAGAGGGATGCAATGCCATCTGGTGTGTGCCTGGGAGGGTAGGCGGACGCGTACGCGCAGTACGACCACTAGTGCGAGCAGCACGAACAGGCGACGCAGGATGAGACGAAGGCTCACGGCGCTCAGCAGTAGGACCAGTGTAGGGAGAAGGAGCAGGTAGGGGGGAGGCGGACAGTAACTGTAATTGCGACTGGACAGGCTGCGGACACCCTAAGGGAGGAGCAGACCAGTAGAAGGCGGAAGACCAAGAACCTGCTCAAGGAGCGGAACAAAGTACGCCCTCGGCCGCGCAGCGTCTCTTGAACCAGCAGGGACAGCACCAGTGAAAGCAGCACCTCTAGCTTCAACAGCGCCAATTCCAGCACCCTCAAAAACACCAGCGCCAACACCCCCAGCAGCTCCAGCTGCAACAGCTCAACCAGCACCAGCAGCACCAACTCCAGCAGGACCGGCAGCTCCATTACTGCCTGCAGCTCCAGCAGGATCAACTCCAGTAGCCCCAGCAGCACCCCTAGTCCCAGCAGCTCCTGTACCGTCAGTACGAGCACCTCCGGGACCAGCAGCAACATTAGTACCTCGAGCTCCAGCGGCACGTCTCCAGCGCCGGGCAAACAACTCGCGTGCTCCTATGGAGAGAGTGGCTCCCGCCTCTACAAAGCACCGCCCGCGGCCATACGAGCAGACCCAGCACCCCCAGGCTCCGCACCCCCACGCTCCGCACCCCCAGGCTCCGCACCCCCAGACTCAGCACCCCCAGACTAAGCACCCCCAGTCGCAGCACCCCCAGTCTCAGCACCTCCATACCCGGCACCCGCTGGCTCAGCACCTCTAGCAGCACCAGAGTCAACAGCTACCTCGACAGGCTCGACTGCGTCTACCTAGGACACACCTGACAGGGCAGGACCCTGAGGGGGGAGGGGGTCTACCAGGGGAGGACCTGGCGCAAGGAAGAGCGGGGGTGGGGGAAGGGGTGCAGTGCGGTAGGGGAAGAGACGGTAGTAAGGCATTGACTCGTCTTGGGAGGACAGAACACGGCGCGAGGTAGGGTGGTAAAACTGTCAACCAGGCGCGATAGGGGGGAAGCCAAGGAAGACGCAAGGAACAGCACGGGGGGACAGCTTGTCCGCAGACAAGTCGCGGACAAACGCCCGAGATCCCCACACCCGAAACATAGACGCATCGCCAACCTTCCCCGTCCACCGCAAGGTGGGGGAGGTCTCTGGCAAGGAGACCCGGGGCTGAAGGTTGAGCTGATGCAAACGGCCACAGAAAATGGGGGGCAGCTGCATGCATCATGGACGTACGAGCGACATCCATGACCATGCCAATGCGGCGCTCAGCAATCCCATTTTGCTGTGGAGAGGCCGAAAGCGTGAAGGTCTGGCGGATGCCTTGTGCACGACAGGAGGCTCCGAGACGGGCAGAGGAAAACTCCCCGCCTCAGTCAGAGTGCAGACGCAGAATAGGAAAGTCCGAGCCGAAACTCTCCCTGAGCTGGAGACGAGCAGCGTTGATCTAGTTGATCAACACCTCAGTGACGTCACCCTTGCTGCGCAAGGGGAAGACTGTGGTGTAACGCGAGTAGTCGTCAACCACCAACAGGAAGTAACGCTCGTGGCCTTGTCCACTGACGCGGGCGGGGCCCCACACGTCCATGTGGAGGGTCTGCAGCAGAGCCTCTGTCGGAGGAATCTCGGAGGAGTGAGGGGCGGCGCGGTGTCGCCCCTCGACGCAGGGGACGCAGGTAGGGCCAGGCCCCGCAGGTAGGGGAGGTAGAGACCGGGGAAGACCAGAGACAAGGACACGGGAGGCCATGCCACGGAGGCGAGGCAGGGAGGGGTGACCAAGGCGGTGGTGCAAAAGGAGAGTCTCGTGGGACAGCAGACGACACGAGCAGGGAGCAGACTCAGGACCAAACATGGACGATGCAGTGAACACTTGACGTGACGCAGCTACCTGGCCAGAGTTAGCAGTCAGAGGAGACTCAGTAGTAAGGGTGTACAGGCTCGACCCTGGCCGATGGGTGAACGTGGCCAAGTGTCGGCCTTTCCGAGCACACGTGCAGTGGGTCAACCGCTGACTCACAGGAGTGAACTGGTCAACCCCCCTATCCTATAGGTCCGCTCCACTCACCAAGTTCGTAGAGAACGAGGGGAGGTAGAGACCTGACATGGTGCCAGAGGGGGCTACCGGGCACAGCAAGATAGTGGAGAAGCTAGCAAGGACGAGACCCCCAGAGGGGTCCGCCAGGGAGACTGCAACTAGCCGACTAAGCGGCGTAAGCGTGGTGCGGTCTCAAAAGAAGGAGCGGGACGCACCCGAGTCAAGGGTGAAGGTGTGTAAGGCTTGAGCCGACGTAGCACCTGAGAGAGCAGACTCACCAGCACCTGGGGCAGCAGACGCACTAGCACCTGGGGCATCAGACGCACTGGCACCTGGGGCAGCAGAAGCACTAGAACCTAGAGCAGCAGCCTCACCAGCACCTAGAGCAGTGGCCTCAATTCCCGGGTCTGGCGGTACACAAAGGTAAGAGTCACCCTCACCACTAGTAGTCACAGCATATATGGCAGCAAGGATAGCATCATAGTCAAAATCGAAGATGGCAACCCCCCGCCCTAGACAGATCTCCGCAGCGAGGGATCTCTGACGCCTCACGGAACTGGTGACGCCTTGCGTCCGTCAAGTGGCCGAACTAGCGCTGGGTGGAGTGCGGGCCCCCGCACTGCTCACCTGCGCGGTCGCCGGTATGGAGGACGTAAGTGCAGGGACCAGTACCCCCACCACGCTGACGCCCAGCGTACCACTCACCAAGCTGCTGAGGGATCAGGGTCTCATGACCGCTCTGCTGCTGCTAGCGCGGACCACCACCGGACCCACTCCTCTGCGCAGAGTCGTGACCCCCGCCACCTCCGCTGCATCTGCCACCTCCACCTCCTCCGCCACCTCCGCCGCTTCCGCTCCCTCCGCCACCACCGCCAACTCCTCCGCCTCCTCCGCCGCCTCCGCTCCCTCCGCCACCTCCGCCACCTCCGCCACCTCCACCACCCCCGCCACCACTCCCACCACCACCCCCACTCCCTCCACTGCCCCCACCACCACCTCCACCGCCCCTGCTAGCCCCTCCACTTCCCTTGCCCCCCTTGCCCTTGCCAGTGCGGCATCTCCCGCTAGGGGCAGACGGAGCGCCGACCCCGTAGAAACCAACGAGGTCGGCCGCAGCAGCAGAAGCAACAGAGGGCAAGAGGGGGGAAGGGGGAACACCCCTCAAAGACCGGGGTGCGAGGGTCACCACGAGAGGCTCCTATAGATACTATGCTCTTCTCTGCTGCTAGGAGGCGCTCCTAGAGGAGGTCAACGGTGAGAGTGGTGGGGCAAACTAAGAGAAAGTGATCCCTAACAACGCGAAGAGAGTCTGGGAGCCGGGTGACTATGTAGTAGAGGGTGATGTACATGGGGGGGGGGGGGGGGGGGGGGTTCTTGGTGCAGAACGCAGCAGGAAGCGCAGCGCGGTAGCGAGTGTCACTAGTGCGGAGGTGCGTAATGAGGTCAGCGACTGTGGGAAAGGCAGCAAGGTCAGGGAAGAGGTACGGTAGCATGAGTCGGCTCAATGCAGTAATGGCAGGGGAAGAGTAGCGTGCAACTACAGCGTCGTACAAGGTCTGAGCACTCTTGTACTGGCTAAAGTGCGCACGCTCAGTGGTCGGTAAGTGGCGATGCACAGCAAGGTGGGCAGCAGCATCGCGTGTCGCCCACTGTGAGCAAACAGTGCTGTCAAGAGTAGCAGGCGGGGCAGGGGATGCACCAGAGGTGAGGTCAAACAGAGAGAGGCCGTCTGCCCTATCGCACAAGAGGAACAGCTGGAGGTCATCGACCCAGACCTCAAAGTCAACAGCACGACCCTTAGTGTCAACGGTAAGAACACTGGGGGTAGCCATGACTGCAGAGGTCTAGCAAGAAGTGAGCTCACTAGTACGAGTAATTAGGGCCGGGCCGCGCCGGTAGGACTGGTAGTAGCTCGCTGGCAGGGCGGCTCGGCGGCTCAGCTGCTCGGCAGTTGGGCGGCTCAGCGGCTGGGCGGCTCGGCGGTTGGGCGGCTCGGCGGTTTGGCTGCTGGGCGGCTCGGCTGCTGGGCGGCTCGGGGTCGGGCCGCTCGGCGGGTGGGCGGCTCGCTGGTCGGGCGGCTCGGCGGCTAGGCGGCTCGGCTACTAGGCGGCTCGGCGACTCTGCTGCTGGGCGGCTCGGCGGCTCTGCTGCTGTGCCGCTCGGTAGAGGCGGCGTCGGGGCCGTTAGGTGTAGCGACGGGGCCGCTTACGGAGGGGAGCGGCGACGGGGCCGTTTAGGAGGCGGCGTCGGGGCCGCTTAGGAGGCGGCGTCGGGGCCGCTTAGGGGCGGCGTTGTGGCTGCTTAGGAGCGGTAGCGGGGCCGCTTAGGGGCGGCGACGGGGCCGCGTAAGGTGAGAGGCGGCGACGGGGCCGCTAGGGGCGGCGACGAGGCCGTTAGGGGCGGCGACGGGCCCTCTTAGGGGCCGCGACGGGGCCGTTGAGGGTGAGAGGCGGCGACGGGGCCGGTAGGGGCGGCGACGGGCCCACTAAGGGCGGCGGCAGGGCCGCGTATGGGCGGCGACGGGGTCGCGTAGGGTGAGAGGCGAGGACGGGGCCGTTGGGGGCAGCGACGGGGCCGCTAAGGGCGGCGACGGGGCCGCGGAGGGGCGGCGATGGGGCCGTGTAGGGGCGGCGACGGGGCCGCGTAGGGTGAAAGGCGGCGACGGGGACGCTAGGGGTGGCGTCGGGGCCACTAATGGCGGCGTCGGGGCCGCGTGGGGGCGGTAACGGGGCCGCGTGAGGGGCGGCGACGAGGCCGCTAGAGGCCACTAGGGGCCTATAGAGGGCGGCGAAAGGCGTGCCTCGGGCAAGAGCGACTGGCGCTCCGGTCAGAAAGGAAATTTAGTGGTGGGCCCAAAGAAGCGTTCCCACATGGTAACCTACTCTATACCATGTGAAGAATGAGGAAAATGAATGAAGTAGCACAAAGTTGGGTACAAGTAGGAAACCCTAGGAAACAGTACCCCATAGTGTCTACCCCACTATAGCCTACACAATCTATATAATATGAGTTTGACAGAGTGCTGTATGTCGACAACAAGGCTGCCATTGCCTTGTATGAGGAGCACAGACTGGAGCACAGGATGAAGCACATCGCTCTACGTTACTTTTTGGCTCGAGAGTTGTAGCAGTGTTGTCAGCTTCGTTTGTGTTACGTGGCCTCTCAGACCAACACTGCTGATATATTCACCAAGGCACTTCAGTCTGGTGATCATCAGCGTTTCTGCACTATGCTAGGGCTTGTGCCCACTTTTCCTCAATTGTTGTAGACTTTGCTTGTACTGTGATCTATATATATATACCTGCATGCTTGCTAGATATTGATCACAGTGATGTTTGTGCTACATATATGCCTCTGCATGTGAACTGGCCTTGTGGTCCTTTGCTTGTGCTCAGAGTGTGTGGTGACGTTGTGATCCACCCTGAGCTTGCTTTGGTTTTCTTGACTGGTCCTGTGACCCCTTGTTCTCCTCCACTTAGCCTATGGGGGTGTGTCAAACATTATATATGTTTGTGTTGTGTAGGCTACAATGGGTTAGCCTTTAGGGGTTACACTTCACTAGGGTTTCCTACTTGTATTCCATCATCTTTCTTGTTCAACACTTCTTGTTTCTGACAGCATGAGGTACTAGCGTGATGGTACTAGCGTGATGGTACTAGCGTGAGTCGAAAGAACTATTTTCTTGTTCTTGGGTTGGGTTGGGTAATTGATGTCGTTTCACATGTGTGTGAGCTCGTGAAATTCAGCTGGCTCAGCTGATGCACTACTGTACATTTCATGTGCAGTTTGCGTCACCTCCACAAAACGAGACGAAAGCGAAAACAAAGTGCACGTTCCCCATTATAGCAGAGTCAGATCTACACCATAAGTAACCACATAGTACATGCTGATATTCTTTAGTCGTAATTCCACATAATTGAGCATTATGTGTGAGGTAGAGAAGCAAATGTAATAAGTATGATACGGAATGGCTGTAGAGGGTGGAAGAAGGATAAGGATACGGACATACCTAAGAAGATGGGAAAACAAACTAACAAAAATATTTTTTATAAAGGTGCTGCATTTATTATTAGTACGATATTCAACTTCTACGCAACCCTTACAACGTTCACCGTCGAGCCTTGTTGTTGAGGTACTAGAAAGGCTTAGGAGCCATAGCTAGTAGGTAGAGTAGTTGAGTTCGAGTGAGTTTGGGTGAGTCGAGAAGATTGCAACAAAAGAGTGGTTTCACTATAGAGCGAGCAGTAAAAATAGGCAAGAATAAAGAAAGGTGCACCACCAAACAGAAAGTTAGATGACTACAGTAGTCTACACTACAGGCAGTTACAAAACAATATATAGAATTATATATTATTCTAACACTTGTTTACCTGCCACCTGAGCTGAAATAGCACACGTCATCACGGAACAGCCCAAATGCCTCAACCACCTGGGCCAATGACTACACGATTTCAAACTTAACCTGATCACCGCTCCGAAATTCAATACAACCAGACCAAACCACGTTTTTACTCAACTATGCTACCAAAGTGACATCAATTAAAGAGAACCCTCCCTCATTGAACATTCAGTTTATACGTGTACCACCTTCGTATCTGCCATTGTTTCTTAGGTTTCAAGTATTCTTCTCATTCTATTAGCCCTCAATCTTTCCCGTTGCTTAGAATGGATATTAGGCCTGTGCTACCCCGTTAATAACATCTACTATTCTCGCTACCTGCTCCTTCGTTCCCACCATCGCATCGCGCAGGAGCCGCCGTTTCCCCTTCACCCCACCCAGCTTCGCGGAGCTGCACGCCGTGCGAATGGTTCAGGTTGCAAAGGTCTACCGTGGGCGGATGATGCTGCCTGCGGGCGATCGCGGCTCCACTAGCGACGGAAGCAGCGCGGATTTCAGAGAGTTTGTCGGAGGCGACGGCGAGGTGAGGGAGTGTGACGTGGTGGTGAGATTGATGAAAGGTGTGTCCACATTTTCGTCAACATTTGTCAGAATGAGAAGTGATTGCACTAGGAAAAGTGTTGGGTACAAGTAGGAAACCCTAAACTTACTATACCCCATAATATCTACCCCACTACAGCCGAAACAAACTGTAGCAGATTTAACATTTGACAACATTTTATTTTAATTTTACTACCTATTGCTTTTTGAGGAAATTAGTGTTATAGTCACAGTAGGCTCCAATGTGCCTAAAACGAAAGATAGAGTGCACAGTCGGATTTCTGCACAGCGGCTTCAAACCTTCATAGCGATCTGCTCACAACTCCAAATGACTTCATTCAACTTGGATCTAGAGCGCCTTAACGTCGCCTACTATAGGCAATTTAAATCGCACGCTTTCATTAAGAAATGACGACACAGCGTCGGTTTGAACGCACGGCACTATGGCATTCTTGCACGCTATGTTGCTCCTGGGAGACACAGACCAGATCACATGGCTGCAGCGAAGAGGGTGTTGCGCTACTTGTGCAGTACGTCGGGCATGGGGCTAGTGCTTGGAGGGCGGAGTCCAGTGGTCCTCACTGGGCACGCGTACGCTTCTTGGGCTGACGACCAGGCTACGCAGCGGTCGTCACAGGGTTACACCTTCAGCCTTGGTTCCGGCTCTGTTTCGTGGCGGGCTACTTGCTCGTCTTCTGTTCTCTGCTCCAGTTGTGAGGCTGAGATCTACGCTGGGGCCATGGCTGCACAGGAGCTTCGCTGGCTCACCTACCTGCTGACCGACCTTGGAGAGCCGCCTCGTTCTCCTCCAGTGCTGTATGTAGACAACAAGGCCATGCTGGCCTTGTGTCGAGAGCAGAGACTGGAGCACAGAACAAAGCACATTGCTCTTCGCTACTTCCTCGCTCGTGAGGTACATCAGCGTGGTCAGTTGCGACTTGCGTACGTGGCCTCTGAGACCAACACTGCTGATGTTTTCACCAAGGCACTTTCGCCTTGTGATCATCAGCGCTTCTGCACTCAGCTGGGTCTTGTCCTTGTCTTGCCTCACTTGCTCACCCCTTGACCTTGTTATAGTCATAGTAGGCTCCAATGTGCCTAAAACGAAAGGTAGAGTGCACATTCGGATTTCTGCACAGCAGCTTCAAACGTTCATAGCGATCTGCTCACAACTCCAAATGACTTCATTCAACTTGGATCTGGAGCGCCTTGATGTCGCCTACAATAGGCATTTTAGATCGCACGCTTTCATTACGAACTGACGACACAGCGCCGGTTTGAACGAACGGCACTATAGCAGCAACATAGTCTTAGAACACAAGATAGGAAGAGTTAGGAAGAGTTACGAGTTGGGAATGACTCCGAGCTCCTACAAACCCCAAGAGCCGAGGTACAGTGATGTGGAACAGTGCCACACTGTCCCCAACCACGAAGAGTCTCGAAACTACCCTTCACTAGGGCCTACACCAAGTGAAATGTTACACTACACAAAGTAATGTAACTATCTTCAATATCTTGAGGTGCACCCTTTTGGCGAGCTTCGAAATCACTCCAGGCTTGACAGAAAGGCTCGGGCTCTTCATCAAAAACTCATCCTTGAGTTCTTGATAGGTCTTCTGCACACACCTGCAACACGCCGAACGTTCGACACAGGACAAAATAGAAACCGCGCGCGAGACACAAACGACCGCGTAACACGCGTCTAGCGATATCTCGCTATTGACTCGACACACACACTCGACATCATGACTCAACATTCACACACAATTATAAGCATGAAATATATATTATCCCATGCCCTCATACCATTCCATACACACACACATGCACGCACACGGACAACAAGCCGAGTGCAAACCGTAGGGTTGCACCAACAAACTCCCCCTCGGATTG